TCAGTGATATCATGCTTGTGCCATTGCCACGGGCCGCCTCCAAGCTTTTGAAGAGCCTCTTGATCTTCCAGATCTCCACTTTCCTGTCGGCAGCACTGGGGTCGTCCGCCATCTGCTCGCCTCCTCCTCCCTAAGGGCCCAGTCCTGGGCGGCAGCGGCTGCTCCTCCCTGGCGGCGGCTCCGCGGCTGCGGCGGCTCTGACGTAGGACACCGGCTCCCTCTCTCCAGGCAGCTCGAGAGTCACTATTCAGGGAACATTGGTAGTATAGTCTGCAGGTAGTTGCACTGCTAACCCAAATTCTAAATTGGTAACCTAAATTCTAATCCACCAGTGACTCCAAGGGAGAAAGAAGAACAGTCTCCTCTCATGCTATTTATAGCCTCCCAAAACCCGCTGCAGGGTCCATAATATGAGTAATCTCTAACTTGAAGGCAGTGAGTAGTCACTACTCAATGAACTATAATGTCTTCATGGGCTTTTTGTTTTTTCTTTTTTATTGGTGTACAAAATTTGTATACCATTCTTCGTTCGCATTGTGTTTCACACAGTCATTCTCATTCATTATGTGTTTGAGTTTATATTTGTTTGTTGTATACAAAGTTTGTATACATTGTGTTTCACAGTATTTTTCCTTCACATTGTGTTTCATACAGTCATTCTCATGCATTGTTGTGTACCATAGAGTTGGAACCGACTCATAGCTGACCCGCCAGTACATTTTCAGAGGCAGTTAATCGCATGGGAGGAGATTGCCCATCCTTCTCTCATGGAGCATCTGGTGGATTTGAACTGCATGCCTTCAGGATTGCAGTGCACCTATTTGTTACTAGGCCACCAGAGCTTCTTCTCATACATTACATTTTATAAAACTAATCACCTTTGGACCTTCCCCATCATTACCCTTTCTTTTTTGCCCAGATCCTTTCCATTTTCTTCCCCTTCTCCCTCCCTCCACCCACCAAATTCTGCATGCTGTGGTTTTATCCCTCCCCTACATGAATTCCCATACATTTTTTACTAGTTATCCTTCTATTTTTACAGTAATAGTTTTATGCAATATTTCTTCTTATCAGACTGCATTCATTTACTCAGCATAATGCTCTCAGCCTCTCCAAGTTACATAGTATTTTTCAAAATCATTGCTCCTGAGTGCTGCATAATATTTCTTATGTGAATGTACCACAATTTCTCAATCCATTTGTTTGTGGTTGGACATTTGAGTTGTTTCCATGTTTCCATGATGGTGAAGAACGCTGCTATGAACATTGGTGTACAAATCTCCATTTGTGTCTCACTTCTAACTTCCTTGGGGTATATTCCTAGTTGTGAGATAGCTGGGTCATAATGGAGTTTCCATGTTCAACTTTTTGAGGAAACTCCAAACTGTCTTCCAGAGTGGTTGCACCATTTTACAATCCCACCACCAGTGCATGAGAGTTCCCACCTCTCCACATCCTCTTCAACGTTTATTGCTTGCTGCTCTACCATTGTGGTTTTGGTTTGTATCTCGCTTATTGGCAGCAATTTTCAGCACTTCTTCATGTGTCTGTTGGGCATCCAAATGTCTTCCATTGTGAAATATGCTATTTTTATGTGCTGTAGAGTTGGAATCAACTAATCACAGCTAATTTTCCATTGGGTTTTCAGAAGCTATAAATTGCATGGGAAGAGATTGCCCACTTTTCTCCCATGGAACATATTGGTGGATCTGAGCTACCTTCCTTTGGGGTTGGCATTGTAGGTCCTAACAGCTAAGCCACCAGGGCTCCCCATGCCAAAGATCAGGGCCCTTAAATTTTCACTCTTTCCCCCCTTGATTTGGTTTTAGGTTTTACATCCTTTTATATCTTGTAAAAAGATATAAACACTTTATACTATTCTTGTCTCCATACTATAATAAAGACAGCCCATTCCCCAATGGGATTATAATCACTGGTTTAGAGATTGGGATTTACAACACATTTTGGAGTGAAACAGTTCAGTTCATAATGTACATATACATACAGAGACAAATACTTTATAGTAGCATATTGTTCATATTGCTTCTACACTTTCTTTAACATAGCAATCTGTCTTGGAGATTGTTCTGTTGTTATGTGCTGTCTGTTAAACTCTGACTCCTAGCCACTCAATTTATAAGTTCAACCTTGCTTGAATCTGTTATCTTCACAGTCTCCCCTGTTCTTATGGCCATTGTTGCAGTCAGTGTGTCACCTCATTTCAATGAGAATTTTCCTCATTGACCCTCTGTTTTTCAAAGCATAATGTCCCTATTTTAAGGATTGATCCCTCCTGATAACATGTCCAAAGACTTATTGAAGTTTAAGGTTCCTAAAAGAGCTATCCATGGTATGCTCTTTCCTTTCCAGTCCCAGCTTCAGATGCAGTCACTGTTGCGATGTTGATGCCCAAGAAGAACCGCATTGCCATATATGAACTCCTTCTTAAGGAGGGTTTAATAGTGGCCAAGAAGAATGTCTACTCTTAACTGGCAGGCAAAAACATGCCAAATCTTCTTGTCATGTAGACCAGGCAGAATATCAAGTTACCAGCCTATGTGAAGGAACAGTTTGGAGATATTTCTGCTGGTACCTTACCAATGAGAGTACACAATATCTGCATGATTACCTTCACCTACCCCCTGAAATTGTACCTGCCACCTTATGTCGCAGCTGTCTTGAGACTGGCAGCCCACGACCTAAAGGTCTGGAAGGTGAATGACCTGCAAGACTGACTCAAGGGGAGGCTGATAGAGGCACATACAGATAGAACGCAGGGCCTCCTGGTGCTGACACGAAAGCCAAGGCTGGGGCTGGGTCAGCAACTGAATTCCAGTTTAGAGGTGGATTTGGTCGTGGACGTGGTCAGCCACCTCAATAAAATGGGAAGGAATTGTTTTGTGTTGCACAAACGTGTAGCCAGAAAAACTATTTAAGAAAAACAAAACCAACCTTTTGTTTTTCACCCCCCAGCTCTCCAATACCTAGAAGTTTCTTATGTAGGCAAATGACATGGTCACTTTTTATATTAGAAAGAAAGGGGTCAGGTTGGAGACAGGGACTCCAGGAAGGAAACTGTACCCTGTAATTCATGAAAAAAATAAGACTTGAACTAGAGCAGTAAAAGGAATCACATTATTCCCATGTTTACATAGTTCCAATTTACTTAACAGCTTACTCGCTATATGACTATAGGAAAGATACTAACAACTCTTTCTGTGCTTTCTTTGTAAGATAGGAATAATAATCCTTGTTTCAGCGAGTCATAGCTTGGTTGCAAGGGTTAAAAAGAGAGAGAGAGAGTATGTGTGTGTGTGAGAGAGAGAGAGAGAAAGAAAGAGAGACTTAGAGTAATAATATTTGGCACACAGTAGCGTGGAGGTGTGAGCACGGGAGCCGTGGCAAGCTTTTGGAGTCGATTGCTTTTCCGGGCATGTGTTTGACGTGCAAGTTTGCTCTGTCCCCGGGAGTGAGGCTAGCCAGCCTGGGCCTAGGGTTTGAACCAGGAGGCGGCCTTAAGCCCAAAGACAGCTGGGAGATGAGAGGAAGCAGCCATGTTGTTCCTGGTTGGCTCCTCCCAGGGCCTTGGGAGGTTCTCCTTGCCAGAAGGAAGGAGTGTGGTGGTGTGAGCGCGGGAGCCGTGGCAAGCTTTTGGAGTTGACTGCTTTTCTAGGCATGTGTTTGACGTGCAGGTTTGCTCTGTCTCAGGAGTGAGGCTGGCTAGCCTGGGCCTAGGGTTTGAATCAGGAGGTGACCTTAAGCCCAAAGGCAGCTGGGAGAGGAGAGGGAGCTGCCATATTGTTCCTGGTTGGCTCCTCCCAGGGTCTTGGGAGGTTCTCCTTGCCAGAAGGAAGGAGCGTGGTGGTGTGAGCGTGGGAGCCATGGCAAGCTTTTGGAGTCGACTGCTTTTCTGGGCATGTGTTTAATGTGCAGGTTTGCTCTGTCCCCGGAAGTGAGGCTAGCTAGCCTGGCCCTAGGGTTTGAACCAGGAGGTGGCCTTAAGCCCCAAGGTTCAAATTGTTTTCCTGTCAAACATTCTTCTAGATGGTATAGCACTGGTCTGTGCCTTGCTGTACAGAGGTAATTCGTGGTTGCTGTGATGCTGAAGACTGTGACAGTGATGTGCCAATCGTGGTAATGGGTACCCATAGTGGACAGTGTTGGCTGGAGCTTCTCGACTAAATCAAGCCTGGAAGCAGAAGCGGCATTCACTACCGAAATGGCTTGCCTCCGGGAAACTACATACGAACAGTGCTCAGGCCGTTTGTTCATAGGGTCTCTATGAGTCGTCTACGACTCAACGGCATCAGACAACAACAACAACAAACTTTCTGTCAGCATTAGCTTTTACTGTCCACGTAGACCTTCCACTCTAGCCAATCAGAAACCCTTTTGGTGTCTTAAGTATGCTCTCTGTTTTTTACTGTTCAGTAAGGAATTCTCTCCCTCTCAGAAATATGGTTAACTCGCTTTCTTTCCTTGCCAACCTGTGGGCCACAATTTTTTTAAATAGCCATTTACCCCATTCTAATTTGTGGATAATTATACCCTCAGACTGGTTACCTCCTGAAAGTGAAACTGAATCTGACACTCCTCCCCTCTTCCCAGCATTACTCCACACAGAGCTGGGCACAAAATAGATGTTAGAAAATATTTGTAAATTGAGTAACTTAAGCAAACAATCTTTGTAATAGCAATTGCTATTAATCAAGAAACTCTACTTTTTAATTTTTATCCCTGTCAGCTATACAAACTACTCATTATTACTCCCAGTTGAACAAAGACTAAAAGGTTGACTAGGTGCCTGCTAATCTGTTGGTCAAAATCAGAATTGGAGTTTATTTCTGCATAGTTCCAAGTTCCTTGTTCTTACCCAAGCTTATCTCTACATCCTTTGCAGAAGTCTTTGAACACTGAGGCCTAAGACCTCACTCTTGTCCTCTTTTCCCCCAGATTGGTAACCTAAGTATTGTCTCCATCTAAACTTACTTTAGGTGGAGTGGGCTAAACACATTGTTGACCATCAACCCAAGAATTAAAGCATGGTAGACTACAGCCCAGTGTTGCAGAGGATCATGGAGACGGATCCTCTGCAGCAAGGTCACACTCTGGCATCTGCCCTGAAGAATAAGAAGAAAATACAGAAATGTACAGGTGAGTGTCAAAGTGGGGCCACCAGCATACCACTGGCTCAAAAAGGGCCATCCACTTGGGCTATCTTACTGTGGGACCTGAGATTTTGTATTTCTAACAGGTTCTCAGGAAATGTTGATACTGTCCTTAAGGGAACCAGAGTTTCGGAACTACTAGTAGTAATCTTATGGAGCTCTGGTGGTCTAATAATGGTAAGAAGCTACACTGTCATCCCAAAGGTACACAGTTCAAATTTACCAGATGTTCTGCAGGAGAAATATGGGAAGTCAACTCCTGTGTAGTATAGCTTCTGGAAACCCACTGAAGGGTCAATTCTGGGTCTGTTGGTATTTGCTATTGAATTGACTACAGTTCCTAGCAACCCTGTGAACAATGGCTCTGAACCTTACCCTATCCTGAGCCAACCTCACTGTCTCTGACACACCTGACATCATAGCTACAGTCACTGTGTCAATGCATCTCACACAGAATCTTCTTCTGAATTGACCCTCTACCCAAGCATGATGTCCTTCTCTAAGGACTGGTCCCTCCTCGTGACATGCTCAAAGTATGTGAAACAGCTTAAATTCTCCAACGAGCAAACTGGTTTCACCGTTTCCAGGACAGAACTATTTGTTTTCTTGGCAATATATGGTATGTTCAGTATTCTTTTCCAGCACCACAATTCAAAGGCGTGGATTCTTCTGTCATCCTTAGTCATTATCTAGCTCTCAGATGCAGAGCAAATATTTGAGATGACTATGGCCTAGAACAACAACAGTAGTAATCTATTTATCAAAGAAACAAACAAAAAACCAACAAACTAACAAACATTGAGGTGAGTTGATTTTGACTCATACGGACCCTCTTATCAGATTTTGCAAGGCTGTAAGTCTTTATGAGGGAGTTTGTTGGCCTATATAGCCATCTGGGCCTCTCAAGCAAATGGTTATTTAATTTCTTGTATCTTTTTCCTGAGATATGTATAAACACAATGTGTATAATGTTTTGTCTGTTTTTTTTTCACTTTTAATAGACCTTAGTCTCCTGAACATAGTATTTTCTCATTCCATGTATCTTTGAGATTTTTCCATATCAATACACAAAGGAACTTCCTCTTTCATTTTAGTGGTGATCATTTGTATAGCTGACTCATCAACATCTTTATATTGTACTTATCTGCATTGTAACGTGTTGCATAACTTTTGCCCTCACTTTAATAAGTGAGGAAATTGAGGCCTAGAAACCTTAAGTGACACGCACATAATGAAGTAACAGAGCCAAAATGCAAAGCTAGAGGCGACTGAACCCATGAGCCTCTTTTTTTTTTTTTTTTTTTTCTAGGCTGTGTTCCATAACCAGATACACAGTTTTGACCTAACTCCATAAATAAATTCTTGTTAAGTAATGGTAAAGAGAGAAAAAGAGTCATTGCTAACAGTGATAAATGTGAAGATACAGCAAGCACAGTGAGAGAACCTAATACAGCCTGACGATGGTGGTAGAGTAGGCAAAGTCAGAGACTTTCTGGATGTCTGCAGGCAATCCAAAGGAATGATAGGATTTGACTGGCAATAGATACTTACATGCAACAACCTCCTTTCTATGAAAAGCTTTTTTATTTATTTATTATGTAAAGGCAGAGTGATAAGTACAACAGTAAAACAAACAAATTTCTTTACTGCTCTGAGACTCAGCCAGTCATTGATTGCATGGAGTCAAACCCATAGCTGACCTTCCAGTGAATTTTGATAGGCTGTCAGTAACACAGGAAGAGATTACCTGTCTTTCTCTGGCCAGTGGCTGGTGGGTTTGAACCACCAGGAGGGTGCTACTTTTGGGTTAGGAGTACAACTCTACCCACTTCATCATCAGAGCCTCCTACTTTGAGACAAAGAAAGGATGAAATTACTGGGAGCCAAAAGGGTTTGATATCCCAAGACAGAAACAAGATTGACCTGATCATCTCACAGATAGATAAGTAGGCTTACCTGTGAGAGTAGTAACTGCCAGCTGCTCACCACTTTTTTGTTTATTGTTAAGGGTGTGAGTTTGGAAGCTAAGTATAGATCAAGGACAGTGTACAGCAGCTCCAACAAACCTCTGTTTTCTCTTGGCAAGCTGTCTACCAAGGTGACTGCTTGTATTTCTTCATCTGCAGACAAGATTGCCAGCAAGCTGTCCAAATCCATGATGTCTGTCCTCAACCTCTCTGGCAACACTGATGACAGTGCTGATAACTGATCTCAACTCCACTGTCTTTCCTAGTGGGATGGAGCAATATGGATAATATTAAAGAATTTGCCTTTCATTGAAGCACCTGCGTATTATAAAATCTCAGTGTCATGTCCCTCAATATCTCCTCCATTATCTTCATTAAAAAAGGTCTGGTGCTGGCAAATCAAATACTTTCATTTCTGCTCTCTTAAGTTCAACAGTTCTTATCCTCCAGCTCCATCAAGGAAGAAAGATAAAGATTTATAGCCTGGGAAAATTGATAATGGATTGCTATGAGTCAGAACCAATTCATACTCTATAAGAGAAAAAAAATGTCTGTAGTGCCAAGATGCTAGTAGTTTATCCCCACTCTATATGTTGGACTTGTTTGTGAGCAAATGCTTCACAAAATCTCGTCGTCCTTTTGGACCACTAAACATAGTTTACAGGTTACCATAGATCTGGATATCCCTGGGAAGGTAATGATCTTTTTTACTAGTTCACCAGAGCAAGACAATCTTGTGATTCTTCAAATCCTATAGTTCCTCACCTGGATGGCAAGTTGGAGAATAAACCTTTTCTGAGTCTGAAGAAAAATGGAAAAGAAAAAACAAGCCTGGCTGATGTTGAAATGTAATAACACAAAAACTCATTACTTTGGAATTGGAATTAACGGAGAACTGGCCCTCCACTGGATTTTCACAGGCTGTAAATCACATGAGAGAAAATTGCCTGTCGGTCTTCCATTCAGCAGGTGGTAGATTTCAACAGCCAGAGAAGCACTGACTTTGGGTTAGTAGTGCAACTCACTACCGAGCAGTACCACCAGTGGTATTACCTTATTCCTAAGAAGGGAAAATAAGTCACATATTGGATGAGAGGTGGTATGTTTTAGGGATAAACTGCCTTGGCATATTTCTGACCTAAGGTGACAGAATTATTTAACTCAAGTGTTTTGATTAGATCCTACCTTTGAATTCCATGATTTAAAAGTATTCTTTGTTCACACATTACACCCACCAGAGAGTGATGAAAGGATGAGAAGGCAGTGCACCAGTTTTTCCTTTATCAGATCTGGAAACCATGTCATTATATACAATTAACTGCCACCTTTGTGAGAACCATCAAATAATAATAGGCTTACCATACCTGTGCTCTCAAAAATGGACTGGAATAGATGATTGCTATAGAAATAATCTTTACCTGAGTTATATGTGTAATCTGAGTTCCTAGTAATCTGTCCCAGACTACATATTTAAAAGAGATGAACATTGGATTGTTTCAGTCTTTGCCTACTACCCAGATATACACACTATCTTTGGATGACCACAGCTATATCTTACTTTACCTTGCCCTTACCTCTACCATGCTAGCATTCTATAACTTAATAAAAAAATCCTATGAGCAGAAGCCCATACCTGTTCTTTTCAGATAGGTGATGGAGTGAAGACCCTTGTCTGTAGGCTAATCTGGCAGGGGAGTATAGACTACTCTTGCATTCAGGGTCACCTCAAGGAGTAGAATTATGTGTAGACTCCTGAATAGGTTGAGTATAAATTGTACCATATCTAGAAACCTATTACCTCATTTAAACCATCAGTACAAATGTGCCAGTAAATGATTAGTCTGGCTTTCCATAAGAAAAAGAGATTGAGACAGTTTACAAGACTTAAAACAACATAGGTGGCTGAGCCAGAATTGGAACCTGTTGTCATTAAAACCCTATGAATGCCCTTTGTTCTGCATTGTACTGCCTAACAAAGGAACTGGTTAGCATACTACCCTATGCTGTACTGTTGTCAGAACTTTTAAATGCCTTTTGGGGTGGGAGGTGTGTGTGTGTGTGTGTTGAACAGTTCCTTATAAAAATTGCTGTTTATAGCCATCAAGCTTTCCTGGTAGGTAGTAAATAGTATTATGTTGGAAATTGGACAGTGGACATCAACTGTAGTATACACTTCTGTGAGGTTTGACAGATTGGTAGGGTTGCGTAACCACTAACAATCAAGGTACAGAACAGTTTCTTTACCAGGACAGCCAAAATAATTTTACAGCCATATGTTGTTAGATCGTTTGAGTTGGATCTGATTAATTGTGATTGTACAACAGAACAAAACCCTGACCTGACATCATCCTTGAAATCTCTGCATTTCATTATTTATCATCTTAATTATTTTCTACCACTCCTTAAGAAATGCTAGTAAGCACTGGAGATTGGAGTGTCCAGCTGAGTTAAGAGCTTTGGAATATAATTTGGCCCAAGTCAAATTAGTCAAGACAAGAATTTGAAATTCTATTTTCTCTAGCTTATCTTTGTACATTCAGAAAGTTGTTCTTGAGTCTTTTTCCTTCTCCTTAATTTTTAAATTAAGGTATTAATTTACATACAATAAAATTTATCTTTTATGGTGTAAGTTATATGAGTTTGGACAAATGTATATCCTCGTGAATTATCACCACACTCAAGACATGGAACAGTTACATCACCTGAAATTCCCAGAATTCACTGTTGGTACCCCAACTCTCAGATCTTGGCAACTTCTGATGAGTTTCTCTCCCTATACTTTTACTTTTGCATTAATGTCTTATAAATAAAATCATATAGTATGTAGTGGGAACTCGGGTGGCCTACTGGCAAGAAGTTGGGATGCCAACCCAAACACATGTACTTTGAATCTAATAATTGTTGTTGTTGTTATGTGCCATCGCGTCGCTTGCCGCTCATAGCGACCCTATGTACAACAGCCCTAAACTCTGCTCTG